AATAGGATTCTATCTGTTCAAACTTAATAATGATGATGTATACATACCTATTTGAGTACTGAACAATGCTAAATAATATTGTTTCTAGCTCAATGCTGCTGTTTCAGCATTAGCATTTTATAACTCTGATGCTAAATCATAGAAGTAAAAATAATGTTGTTTTCAGGTGAATGGTTTTCTAATAAGAATTAAAGGCTATGTAAACAATGTGAGACAAGGTAAGGAAACACATATAATACATATTAATAATAGCCCTTCTAAATGATTGCCAATACAAGGATCAAGATACACAACCCAAATTGATCTCATACAATCTATGAACAAAATTGTCAAATTTAAAGAAATTTAAAGATAGAATAGAATGACCATCAGGGAAGGAGCTCTTTACAACATAAGATACACATATGATATAATATGACAAGTCAGAAGACAGAAAAGAACATAATGAACATTACTCATAATCCTAACTGTAATCCCATTCCTAATACCACTTTATAATCTCACCCCTCAAGGGATTTCCTCTGCCTCTGTCAGTACGGACATGAACAGGAGGATTTTCAAGCTTACACAGTACATAGTGCTCTGTGAGCCCTGTGTACTGTGTGGTTGCAGCATGAGAGAGTATTACACAATATACAAACCTAGTATAACCATTTTGTATGCTAAGAATCCAAATTTAAAGTTAGCCACTTAAATTACATAAACAGACATAAACTGTATTTAGGTTAAAATATTATAAATGCTTAGTCACATCTAGCCACGGAATATACCCTCATATAACTTCTATAAACTTTTTCTTTTCCTTTTATCTTGTAAACACTTGTCATTACATTCAACTACAGTGTCATTTAATAGTTAGACTTAAAGGGAATTAAAGGGTCATCAGAACAACTACAGCTTATTGTACTTGTTCTAATGAGTATAATCATCTGCTTTAGGCTTTTTCCAGTAAACACTGTCTTTTCAGAGAAAAGGCAGTGTTTACATTACAGCCTAAGAATACCTCCACTGGTCACTACTCAGATGGCTACATAAGGTGCTTCCTGGGGCAATGCTGTCCACCCGCTGCATGGAGACACTGAACTTTCTTTATAAAGATGCATTGACTCAATGCATCTCTATGAGGAGGGCTGTGTTTGGTTTGTGCTGACTCTGCCCCTGATTTGCCTACTTGACAAGCTCAGCCAATCCACAGTTAGAGATTGTAACCATATTAGTCCAGTGACGCAGATGTAAAATAACAGATACAAATGATATCTTGTAATACCCTCTTTCTTGTACAAACAGAATTTTGTAATGACAAGCTTTTGGGAGAACCTCCATTTCTCAAATCAGAATTTCTGAGCAAAGATGACACATAGAAATCAAAGTTGAGTTGCGATACAGGGGTTAAAGTGACATGAGTGCAGATAAGACACAAGTTTGATAGAAAATAGGCAATGAGGGGGGAGAGAGACAGAGAAAAATCAAACAAACGAAAAATAGTGCAAAAGATGGTGCTAGAAGGGGAGAGTAAAAAAATGAATTACTTACATTAAGAATGCATGAATTCACATCCAAGAGTTCCAGAATATGCATGAATGACAATATACAGCATACACAGACACAGACATGTACATATACACAAGTAATGATGTATATGTACAAATATATACAGGTACATACATAATATACACAAGTACATACAATTACATACATATAAATACAATCAAATGCATGAATATATGTAGATGCGCATCTATACATATATCCAGGCACAAGCACCAATACATGTACTTACACAGGTACAAACGTACATATACACAGACCTGTATATATGTATATGTACACATAGTCATATTCACATATACACACATATATGTTTACACACACATATGTATATACATCATTAAAGATAAAGATACATCAAGATAAACACCTGCGGGTCGAAACGTTGATTTTCGTAATTTAATACAATATAACCCACTTTAAAAAAAAAAAAAATCCATGGATGGTGCTAAATACAGGGATATTCTTGAGCAAAACCTGTACCTCTCTGTGCATGATTTGAGGCTTGGACAGAGGTTCAGCTTCCAGCAGGACAATGACCCCAAAACCACTGCTAAAGCAACACTTGAGTGGTTTAAGGGGAAACATGTAAAGGTGTTGGAATGGCCTAGTCAAAGCCCAGACCTCAATCCAATAGAAAATCTGTGGTTAGACTTAAAGATTGCTGTTCACAGGCGCAAACCATCCAACTTGAAGGAGCTGGAGTAGTTTTGCAAGGAGGAATGGGCAAAAATCTCATTGGCAAGCTCATAGAGACTTATCCAAAGCGACTTGGAGCTGTGATTGCCGCAAAAAGTATTGACTTTAGGGGGGTGAATAGTTATGCACATTTACTTTTTCTGTTATTTTGTCCTATTTGTTGTTTGCTTCACAATTAAAAAAAAACATCTTCAAAGTAGTGGGCATGTTCTGTAAATTAAGTGATGCAAATCCTCAAACAAGCCATGATAATTCCAGGTCGTGAGGCAATAAAACACGAAAAATCCCAAGGGGCGTTAATACTTTTGCAAGGCACTGTATATTGATATTAGTCTGAGATTGCACCTGTTACAGAATTTGTATATCTACGGAGAGTGTCAGGTTGCTTTAAATAATGTGGGGGAGATTGCATCTGTATTTAATCAACTTCTTGTCCAGTATCTGATGTTATTACATAGTTCCATCTCAGTTTATTTGTTTTATCTTTGTAAAATTATGAAATTAAGTTGAAATAGCTAAAACCAGATACCTTTCAGTAGGAACAGTGGTGCATTTAAATAATTATTACTGTCAAGGACAAAGTGCTTTGGTTCTTTGTTGCATTATATGTTTAGTAACATTTTGGTGGGAGAATTTTGAATCTTTTCCAAATTGTATATAATTCTAATGCATTTTTCATTCTGCAAATTGTGACACATTTTGAGTGTCGGCTGTAAGACATCCCCCAATTGGTTGCCAGATGAAGGTCCGTGATCAACCAGTAGTCTGAGCAGATACTGAGATTAGGTGTAATTGATTTAAATTAATAAACCAGGTATTGGTTGCCTGGATTAGCTCCTTACAAACAGGTTTATTACCTGGACTAATGAAGCACACATAAAACCCTCTTTTTGACCCAGTGTGAGTGAAGTGTCACATGTGCAACATGTTTAAAAGAAACAAGAAGGATGTAAAAAGTAATTCAGTTAACTAGTGCAACTATAGATAACATGTGTTTAATGTAACTAATGTTTGTTTTCATGGGGTGTTTCAGCTGATGATGTCAACTACCGGTCTAGTGGGAATTTCAGCTCTTCTGTAGTTTTTTTTTTCTCAATCATGGTGCATGGTGTTTATATTGTTACTTAGCTAAGAATGACTAGAATAGTAGTTCTCTAATAGTTATAATAATAAGTTGATTGGACCTTTGGCCTTATAGGATAAATATGCGATGGTATGCTTTTGTTTCTTCTATGTCTTCTGTGTGTTTCAAGCCTTTGCTTATAAAACCATGTGTGCAAATGGACACCTCAGAATAATACCTCTCCAAGAAAAAAACTAAAATCCTCCTGACTATGAGATCTCACAAAAGGACATTGTGGACATGGTATGATCATAATTGTCTACTATCTGGTTCATCAATGTGGCCTAAACTCACTGTCATTGCCAACGTGGCCTCTGTGTGCCATGTATTCATACTCTGTTTGATATGGATCTCAAGACACTACCCTTGCATGGGTTCACTTAATGCCAAAGGAGAGCCTGTGAGAAAAATGGAGGTTCATCTGCTCATTAGGAAAGAGCTGTTCATGAGTTAATGACTGATCACCATTTTTTTAAATGTGTTTTTATTTTGTTTTTCACACAAATTCACATATATTGTGACAATAAATAAAAGTTTACAGAGCTTTGTACTTAACAATGAGTAATGTTACAAAAATATATGTGTTTGATATAGAAAGATGGAAACAGAACACACAAGATGCAATTTACAATATTTATCCATATCTGCATTTTACTCTCTATACAAAACGTGTTCTAACTGTAATACTGCTGCTACTAATACCACTACGAAAAATGACCTGTCACACTCAGTAACAATGCACAAGCAAGAGGCACTGAAGCACACTGCAAATTAAATAATCTGTCTCTCAATTCAAAAACAATAAATATATCCCCCCATTCAATGCTCTCACTGCCAGGTCTCCTCTCACTCTCTCCCTGCAGTGCTCCGTGTGAGGACAGGAGGTGGGGCAGGTAGTGGCATCACACCTCCTGCTCCCCTCTCACACGGAGCATACTTACAGCGTGGAGGAAGATGGAGAGAGGAAAGCCATCAGATTGTACAGGCAGGGCCGTCTACAATATGAATAGGACCCCGGGCAAAGCCTTTTCTTGGGCCCCCTGGGCCCTGTCACTGCACCCTCCCTCCCCATTACGCCCAACCCGCAATCACACTGACAGACATACTGACACATACACACACAGACAGACACATTAAAACATTCGCAGATGCATACTGACACACACATACACTGACACAAAAATATATACTGGCAAACATTGACACACATTCAGACATACTGATACACACACAGACACATACATACTCACAGACACATACACTGACAGATATATTGACACAGACACACACAGACACATACACTGACAGGCGTTTTGACATACACAGACATACTGACATACACACACACACACTGGAACACAGTGAGACATACTGACATACACACACACAGACATACTGACATACAAACACACAGACATACACACAGTATGTCTGTGTGTGTTAGTATGTCTGTGTGGTGTGTTAGTATGTGTGTGTGTATGTCAGTATGTCTGTGTATGTCAGCATGTCTGTGTGTGTATGTCAGTATGTCTGTGTGTGTTAGTATGTCTGTGTGTGTATGTCAGTTTGTTTGTGTGTGTATATGTCTGTGTGTGTGTATGTCAGTATGTGTGTGTGTGTATGTCAGTGTGTGTGTATGTCTGTGTGTGTGTGTATGTCAGTGTGTCTGTGTGTGTATGTCAGTATGTCTGTCATAGACACACACAGACACACACAGACATACTGACATACATACACAAACAGACATACTGACACAGACATACTAACACACACACATACTAACACACAAACACATACTAACACACTAACACACACACAGACATACTAACACACACACATACTAAAACACACACACAGACATACTAACACACATACTAACACACACACATACAGACATACTAACACACACACACAGACATACTAACACACACAGACATACTAACACACACAGGCATACTAACACACACACAGACATACTAACACACACACACACAGACATACTAACAAACACACACACACAGACATACTAACACACAAACACATACTAACACACTAACACACACACACAGACATACTAACACACACACATACTAAAACACACACACACAGACATACTAACACACACACACACACACATACAGACATACTAACACACACAGGCATACTAACACACACACACACAGAAATACTAACACACACACACAGACATACTAACAAACACACACACACAGACATACTAACACACACACACAGACATACTAACAAACACACAAACACAGACATACTAACACACACACATACTAACATACATTTTGCCACCCTTCAGGTTCTTACCTTTTTATGGAGGGTGGTTTCCCTGGGGTCCAGTGGCAGGCTGAGGCAGATGGGAGTTCTTCTCTGGAACTCCCCTCCTCCCTGCTTTCCTCCTCCGCGCGGCTATCTCCGGTGGGAGGAAGTGACACGCGGTACTCACTTCCTCCCAGCCGGTACAGGAAGGGGCCCGGTCGCGCTGTTTAAGCGTCACAGCGCCCGACCGGGCTCCTTCTGCCACATGCCCACAGGGTGGCCCTTAGTGCATGGGCCACCCTAGGGCCTACTTAGTTGGCAGGCCGGTGTGGCTGCACTGCCGGCCGCCGGGTACATGGAGGCTTCTGAAATCGCGGGGCCCATGGGGCAGCTGCTCTGGGGCCCCCCCAGGAGCAACTGGGCCCGGGGCAACTGCCCCGTTTGCCCCTCGCTAAAGACGGCCCTGTGTACAGGTAAGCAGCCAGGCTAGGGGTTAAAATAGCATACAAGGAATTTTGGGAGACACAAAAGAATGGGGTGGGTTAAAGAATTGAGTGAGATGGAATACAAATGTGGGGACAGCTAAGACACCTGTGGGGTGGAAGGAGAATTGTGAAGTGAAGCAGAGAAACAGCCGAGTGGGGTGTGACGGGGCAGAAGCTGGTCAGATGGGTGATAAGTAGTGTTAGAGAAAGGGATACAATGGCTAACAGATAAAAGAGGGAAATAAAGACACACATACTGATTGGTGAATATTAAGAGAGAAAGAAAGCCACAAGGAAGTTGGACAGTAAAAAAAAAAAAAAAATCACTTGCCGAATATAAATATACCTCATTACACACATGCTGACACTAATTTCAAATGCATCTCTCATTCACACACACTGACAGATTTCAAACACACCTCTTGTTCACACACAGGCTTCAAATACAAATCTAATTTACAGCATTGAGAAAGGCTTTCCTATGAACAATTTGAATGCGCGCGTGGCACTTGCCGTGCATGTGCATTCGGCTCCGCTGACGTCGGCGGGGGAGGAGAGGTGACCAGCGCCTAGGGAGCCCGACGCTGGATTAAGGTAAGCTGCTGAAGGGGCCACGGGAGGGGTGGGGGCACCCTCAGGGCACTGTAGTATCAGGAAAACACATGGAAACTCAAAAAAAATTTTTATTTTTTTTACAGTATTCCTGTTTGTGTATGTGTGTGTGTGTATCTGGGTGTGTGGCGAAACTAATCTCGCCACTATTTGCCGGCCTCTTGCCATGTGACTATGGCCCCTGGGAGTCTTTGCCAGTTAAAAACACTATTTGGACTTATTGGTGTTTAAAAGACTGTTCTGGCCCTTTAATTGGAACTGGCACAATTCTGCACCCTTGATTCCATGGGAGAATGTGCCTTCTACTGTCCCATTGTTCTCCAGCAGGGCGTTGTCCCAGGGACACTGCCAGACCAGTTTATACTGGCTGCTTTGTCCCTCCTCAATCTCTAGATCAGCCCTTGCTAAACATAAAACCCCATGGTGATTTGACTGTGTTCATGGGATCTGAGCCCTGTTTGGATATATTGAGATCAAATCAAATCAATCAAAGCTATCTGGGAATAGGTTGAATGTGGGAGTTCTGTTCAGTATGATAGGAATTATGTATTTTTGTGTATTTTTGTGAATAGAGATATTTTCTGTACCAGAGATAATTGGCTTACTACACCTAAGCCATGCTTGCCGTCGGTCAAAAAGGACTTCCAGCTAATTTTTTAACCACTGAAGGGAATTGTATGATTCACGAGTATGTTTGTATTTGGGGTATGCTGATTCTGAATGTGATGTATACTTTTAGAGTTATGAATATTGGGTAAAACTGTGTATTTTCCTGGCTGTGATAATTACTTTAGCCCATTGTGTTCAGTAATTATATCACAGACAGAGGGGAAGATTTTGCTGTAATGAATGGGAGTGTCAGACATTGTATTGTTTTTATTGGTTTGTGTCATTTGTATGTCTCTGTACCATCAGGTCGAGGGGGTGTGCCTCTGGCCTGGGGAATTGTATAAATTGTGAGTGCTTGCTTCCATTAAACAGATTCCTGCTTGACCTTCAATACGAAGCCTCGTCTCGTACTTGGGGGGAATTATTTGTTCGGCAGTTTGGAGTGTAAACCTTTCGTATGGTTTTTCCCGTGCGGCAGATTTGTGTATTCGGTAGCTGCCTTTGTATCTGGAAAGGGAATATCTCCTAAACAGCTTTAACCCCTTTTATGCCCTGAATCTGTAGGCTTATCTATGCCTGTTTTGTATTCCTGTCTGTTGATGACTGTGTCTATAGCTGCATCTGTGTGCACATTGTAGCGGAGCGCTAATTTAACATAGACTTTCTCTGCTGATATTCCAAGTGTTGCTCAGGATCAAGTAAATTCTCACAGGAAGAACAGCATAAGTAGTAAATAAAATAATCCACAGATATCCCATCACCTTTCCCAATAACTGGATGACACATAGTATCAGGAGCAGAACTGACGTTTAATGCCACATACCCTGCTTTTATGCAACTCTCCCATGCAAGGGAGACACCCACAGAAAATTATACATTCTCCAATCACAAACTGGTTACAGCCCACACATCCCCTCCCCTTAGCCTGAGAGATAACACAATTACTGTACATTTGAAACACACATTTTTCCCTGTTTTCTGAATGTACCCCAAGACAATGACATATACCCCTAAATTACAAATCCTCTGATAGCCCTGATCTGAGTGAGAAACAAACTTAAAAATCACCCAAATCTGCTCAGGGGTTCGGGAATTTCTTGGAGGTCTTTGTTTTACCAACCGCACACGAGGCAATAGCGGAAAGGAGTTCCATGTGTTTTGCCTTGTGGTCTGTCTCTGTTCGTGAGGTGAAAAACACAAAAATAGTTAATACAGTGGGCTCTGTCTGGGTTCGTATGAATCCCCTTATTCACATAAAACTTAAATCTTTTTACCGAACGCCATTCCGTTAGTGTGTTTTCCCACAAACGGTTGGAGGTATGGAGGTCTCTGGGGTGTTTGCGTGGTTGAGTGTCCGATTTGGGTTCCAGACACTTGACGACCAAACACTGCTGGTGCGTTCGTATGGCAAGATGGCAGCTTCCACGTGGAATACACAGTGTGTTCGTATGATTCTCAATCAGGATAGTGTGAATAACGATGGGAAGGTCAATTAGAGCCACGTTCCTCTCCGGGGTGGTCTGGTTTTTCGGTAGTTTGTTCGCTTGTCGAACGGAGATATTTAACATGTTGGCAATTGGGTTCCTACCGAACAACCAGACAAATGCTTCAGCAGCTCCCTGGTTACTTCTTAAAAGTAATGAACCATTGTAACGGATCACCTGGCACCTCGACTGGGTACCTCCATTGATGGATGCTCCTAGTGCTTCCTGAGGGCTCCAAGAACTCCAGCCGATACCATAACTACTGTATACTCCTCCAGAGAGCAAGGCTTTCTTAAAAGAGCTTAGGAGTGATTATAGCAAGGGAATATGCATAGCACAGCAATCCCTTGTAGCAGATTCCCCCAATAAGAGACGGCACTCCAAATTGAGGGTGAAGTAGAACAGCCAGAGCTGTGGATTTATTGTTCTTATATACACATTCTTACACATTAGTACCACCCACAGGGTTTTGTAAAACAACCAATAAACACGTACAATACACTCAGACACTCCCACACAAAATCCTCCCCTCTGCCTGTGATACAATTACCTTACACAATGGGTTAATGTAATTATCACAGGTAGGAAAATACACAGTTTTACACAATATTCATAACTTTAAAAGTATGCATCACATTCACATAAAACTTAAATTTTCAGAATCCGCATACTCCTAATACCAACATACGTCAAAATCATACAAATTGGTCCAGTGGGTCAAAAGTTAGATCAACGTCCTTTGTGACCAAATGAAGCATGGCTTTTCTGCTCAACACCAGTTCCACAGAGTCTTCTATCCTGGAGATAATTGGGAAGTAATCCAATCATCTCCAAGGACAGAGGCAAAACTCCATTGAACACATGGTAGCAAAAGACAATAACATACATACAAATATATAACTGTGCAGCTATTGCATAAAACAGGTACATTCAACATATCCCCAGATAGCTTAGATCTGAGCGCACATTATTACTGAATGGCGCTTAGATCACATACATACAGTGCAATTGCCATAGAGCCAAAGTCTTTCACATAGTCTTTCGTTATATGAATGGGCTCCTTGGCATAGCTATCTGGGGTATCACTGTTCAAATAGGGACAGTACGAAATGACCCGGCTTTTGGGTCTTTGCAGGGGAAAATCAAGCATTTCAACATGGGCCATAGTCACAGGGCAGGAGGCTGGCAATCAGTCTTCTCCAATGCCCACTGGCGAGGCTGCTTCCGCCACAACCATAGGAAATTGAACATAATGTTGCAACAATAAAAGT